CATCCACTAACTCTATTTTCTAAGACCACAGGGTGGAAATTCTGGCATTTACAATAATGTTTCTTAATGGCAAAGGAACTAAAAATTACAAACCCGAAAAGAATCTTGGCTTCGACAGCTTTTGTTTTATCCTCATTTGTAGTTAAGTGCAAGACATCCTCCACCAAGACCCCAGTAGATGAAGTACCATTGGACAGATAAAGAATTTGATAAGGACAATTACTTTGAGATGAAGAACATCTCCGTTGCTGGTCACACATGTCACTGCTACAAGGAACCTTGGAACTAGTAGACGAAGCATTGGGGCTGTAGATATTAAAGTCTATTGTCTGCAACACAAAAATAGTGTTCAAGAAACTCAGGCCAAAACTCTAATTGACTAGAGATAAACCATGAAAGCTGCACAGGAAAATTTACAAACTTGTGGTAGGAATAATATATGCAGGAATTGAAGCTATAAATAAAGCATAATATTTCAGAGATTCTCTTTTATTTAATGAAGTGAAAGAGCTACGAATTCAAACTAAAAGAAAAGAGTTACCTGGCCATCGGGTGTGCCTAAGCCTTGCACGCAACTAGAACAATCACATGGCAACCAGAAGAGGTCGCTGCCCGTGTCTAGTGCCACTAAAAATGACAAAGCCGGCGACCCTACTGATACATTCGCGTAATACAAACTGTAATTCCCCAAAATTGGAAAAAAAATTATTAGCACTTAACAATTCAATCCTAGAGGAAGCAGTTGAAGAAAAATTGAGATTTAAAGAGAAAAAAAAAGGAAAAAGAAAATGGCAGAGGAAGAGGCAGAATAGTTAATCCATGAAGCTCTGTCTAGAGGAAAATTTGAAGGAAAGGGAAGCTCAAAAGGGAAAAGAAAAAGATAAAGTGTTCATCTTTTGCTTTATTCATTTTTTTCTCATTTTCTTCCCAATTCTATTTCGTTAACAATTTTCCACCAACCAAACATAGTCCAAACCTACTGAACAGTTAAGCTGAGTACTGAAACAAGAGGGAAAAAATTTCCAGTTTTTCTCAGCAACCAAACAGAACAAAAATGCCAAAGACTAAAACAAAAAATTATAAAAAAAAATGGAAAGAATGGAAATTCGCCTCTGGATTGTCCTAAATTCACTTACAAACAACAATCAGAAAGAACTTTTCAGCAAAAATAATATCTTCGAAAATCATTTGAAAAAAAAAAAAGAAGGTGAAATTCATAAGAACAAAAAGGAGTGAGAGTGAGGTGGCGAGAAATCATACAATCCCAAGCCATTCAATCGATAAGTCTCGTTTCCATCGAGAAACGTAACGGGCGTCTGCTCATTAGCCGTCGCCAATCGACGGCCCTTAATTATTTTATCACGGTGGACCATAGCACTGTAATACTCTGGACTTCCCTTCGCCGGTAACTCATCGACGGTCAGGAAATCCTTAACCGGATCCGAATACCTATGGTTGATATCAAACCCGAAAGTACCGAACCCGTAACAACAACTTCCCGCGCTCAACCCCAACACCACTAACAACAACACACAACTGTAACAACTAAACTCACTCATGTCTGAAAAAAAAAAAAAAACCTTTTTCTTGTCTTCAAATTTCTTTTCCCTGAAAATTTTCTTCTTTTTCTTACCGAAAAAGAAAAAAAATGCGGAAAAAGAAATTTTTTTGGCCTGTGGTCGTTTGTCAGGTTTGGTCCGAGTTCTTGTAGGAGAAAATCGAAAGGCAAAAGTCAAATGAAGCCGCGGTTGTTCGGTACCCACAACTGTGGTCGGGAGGTGGGTCCCACAAAGGATTTACTTATTCCATTAATTAATTAATTAATTAATTAAATTACACTTTAATTTTTTTTCTTCTTTTTTGTCGGGAAACCCCTCGTATTTTGGAGATTTCGCGTTTGTACACCTGCTTCTTTTCCCTTTTAATATTCAACCCCTAGAATTTTATTATAATTTTTTAAAAAAGTAATTGTTCTCGGGATGGGATGAGCAAATTACTGACACGTATATACCTAACAAATCCCTAAGCTACTAACTAATCTTTTGTCTACATGAATATAAATATGAATTTTTGACTCTTTTCATTTATTTGCTGATCTAATTTATAATATTTTAATTATATTATTTATTTAAATTTAGATTATATATGCATGCTCTATTATGAAGCATGCCACTTTGATTTTTTAAATTATTTATCCAAGTGATGATCTCCAAACCTAACTATATTTTTTTTACATTAGTCAACTATCCATTGTTTGATATTACCAAACACTTTGAAGTTTGTGTGATCTTTGACTTAATTCATTTTTTTCTACTATCTTTATGTAAATTTTTTTAGCTATTCATCTTATCATAATATAATATTACTTTAAAAATTATATATTTACTTTCTCATGGTTGGTAAGTTTTTCATCATATTATTATTAATGAAAGTTTCAAATCGTATTTTACTTATTACTAACAGACGTGTATTGATTGTTTTTTGTATAAAATGTTGAAAAGTCAAAAGTTTAATTAATTTATATTTAAAACAACTTAACTTTGTATTAAAATTACTTGTACATAGACAATAATATAATTAAACCAAAAGTATATTTAGTGAACACATAAATACTCATTAATAGCAAACTAAGTAAAGAAAACAAAATTTGAAAGTATCAAACATATAACTTAATCTCGGGATACAAAAATTAAGATTAGTTAAATACATCTTAGCCTAAAAAGGAAGAAGACTTGCATAATTAGATGATACAAAAATGTTTATTAAGGCCGCCGGTCAAAAATAAGGTTACAAAGATCAAAGCTAGACTTAAAATAATATATTCACGTATTTTAATTTAATCATATAAATAAAAAACATTAATAATTATATTTAAAATATAAAAATAATATAATTAATTAAATATTTAAAATTTTAATATATTATATAATTAATACATCTATTACACAAGTCGAATTAATTTTATCAATCTGGTACTATGTTAATCAAGTGTGTTTAAAATTATTAAATCTAAATCGAGAAGGAAGTAAAACAAGGAGCCCAGATTGGCAAAAAATAAAAAATAGGAGGGGGTGTACGAAGATAAAAAAATAGGTAAAGAAAGGGGAGGTTGGAGGTTAGTTGTTGAAAGTAAACGGGCGAGGGAAAAAAAGAAGTACATAATTGGTAGCTTTAGCTACATCCCTTCTTTCAAAATGGGAATCCGCATCATACGCCACGTGTCAAACATGTACTGCTACGAGGTAGATCAGAAACGTCAATGTGGAGGTTCCTTGAGTCGTAGTTCCGAGTTAATAAAGCACTGATTGAGGGGCGTGGATAATCGGATCATTACTAATAACGCGTCATCAACGTCAATCAAGGGGAATTTCATTTTGCCTTTGGTGAAACTGAAGTATCAAAGGACACACACATTTCTCTCGCTTTCCTTTTTCTCTTACAACGGCGTTCCCACGATCTTTAAACACGTGGAACACTCTCAATCGTGCGGCCGCAACCGTATCCGCATCGTCACAACACGGTCACCAGTTGTAGCTGCGAAGCATACACATCATCTGGTTACACGTGGCAATTATATTCTTATTTTGTTTTAATGATAAATTTTTATTCTCAAAGAGTTTATATTGTATAATATCTAGTAAAATTAATATACTAATATTTTTTAAGATAAATTATCCTTTTCGAACAGAATTTATTCATAAAAAATTATTTAAGAAAAAATAATAAATGTTACATGAAAAAAAAATTAAAAGAATAAACGGTATAGGTAGAATTTATTACTTATTATTTTAATTTAATTAACAGCAAAAGATTAGTATAAGTTCCATTAAGTGCTTCATTTAATTTTTTTCTAAGGTTTGAAGGTTTCAACTTGAACAAAATTCATATAGGAAGGGAAACAAGAGAAAGTGGGAGGCAACCTCGACGAAGCACATACGGCCCTCGTAATGAAACTGTGACGCAGGCAAGCTTGCATTATTTCATTCCTCTAGAAGTAAAGAAATGGTTCATGGTAGCTTGGAAATTGCTTAACCAAAGGCAGGGCGTGAGAATGCAGAGACTTTGGAAAACTTGTGGTTGGTAATTGGTCCAAATCAAAGACAAGTAGTCAATTTCTTAAGTTTTTAAGTCACACGCAAGCAATGTGGAGAGAAAAGAGCAAATTTTCATAATTTTCCATGACTTTCAGAAGGTTCCTGGTTGGACCTGCAAGGCACGACCAACACCGGCGATGACTTGCTTAAGTCTGCACCCTTAAAGTCGTTGTAGTATTATACATAGAGTCAGCAGCTGCCCTGGTTGGAACTCAGCGTAGAAGGTCAGTACTTTGTTTTGGGTAGCTTATGGTAGGTTTCACATTTCATATAAGTTTGTGAATTATTATTCATTTTGATTCATTAAATCTCACTATTTTACCTCACAAAAAATACTTTACAAGGTTAAAAATGATGTAAATTCTTAAATACTTAATCATTCTTTAATATGTAACTGGTGAGAGCTTCACGATTTCTCTTTGGAACCGTAACATTAGGCCTGGAGATGACAAGAAAAGTAAGGTTGCAGCTAGAAGTGTTGCCAGCAGCAACTGGAACCTCGATTGCAAAGTTAAAAATTGAAACACACAGTTATACAAATATGTCAACAATTTTGGGTTGGCAAAAACAGATTCTTAGCTTACTGCAAGAGAGTGATTCCACCAAAAATGTGTTAAACTTGTATTGTGGCTATACATGGAGGACAATGTCTCTGTGTTGGTGTTCAGAATACAACAATGATACCTACTCTCTGCTAAAATAAAAGGAAAGGAAAAGATGAGGACGATGAGCAATGATACAATCGCATGTAGAGGCGTATGCAAAGAATCCTATACCATGGCTTCGGCTAGGGGAATGGTAAAGGTATTTTCATTGCTATTTCTATGAAGATAAAAGGAGGATATAGCCCAAAATTTTGCTACAGCAGGGGATTGCAACTGGCTTGAGAAAGTAGCCCAAGAATACCTACAATATTAGAGACAATATGGAGACAACTCCGAGGCAAGACAGAGGAGAAACTTGGAAATGCCAAGATCTCAAGGCAAACGAAGTGTGAGAATTATTTTTCCCGATATCTTTTGTTGCTTCTGGGGTAGAATAATTACGGATTCCGACAGCAAAGGCAGGAGGCGCAGAGGCAGCATGTGATTCTACTACGGATGCACTGGTTTCATCAATGTCATAACCTGCATGAAAGCCAATGAATTCTGTAAGTAACTAAGTTCAATATATGAAGGCATAGGGGAAAAGTATGTTTATGAATAAAAGCATGACTTACAATCAAACTTCTTCCAGCCCAAGACAAATCTTTCTCGGTCAAACACAACACGGTAGCCAGTCATAAAGTTTTCTGTTTAGAGGAAATAACGGCCAATAAGGAAACACATAGATTCATCGAGAAATAGAAATCATTATGGAGTTGGTTTTAATTCATCAACGGGCCTCATTAAATCAAGCAATGCGAAAATTATGTTGCCTAATTCACCTATCTTCATTCTTTAATGCAGACAGTCAGGCAATAAAGGAACCAGATTTATGTGTTGTAATTTTTAAGTGAGATTACAAGCATAAAACTCCTAGAAATCAAGCAAACCGATGTTTGTCTTTTAATCACTTTCAACTTAATAACACAGTGGAAGCACTCAATTAATCACATGCAATATGTAAGACTTACGTCCTATAATATTCAGCTCCGTACTCTTGACGACAGCCAAGCAGTATACAAGTTTACTCTGCAAATATTAGAGATCAAATTGTTTAATGCAATTTTTCATGTAAAGAATAACAAAAAAGGTAAAAAAATCTAGAAGCAGGACACTACCTGAGTGGAAATGACAATTATTGGGTCATACACAGGAAAATGACTTCCACCTTTCATTGTTAAACTCATACTAGGTATTAAACTAGCATTTGCATCAGGGCTGCATGCCACAAAGAAAGACGATAAGATGTGCAGACTTCAGTCTAAGTGGAGAACAAGAAGATATGAACAAGGCTAAACAGCAGACCTCATATCATAACAGTACTCAAAGGGGATCCTTGCATCAGGTGGACGTCGCCTATCTCGTGCTTGAGAATGGAACTGTAAAAGAGCATAAATTACTAAGTTGCGACATCATGTAAATGTAGGATCAAGTCCCATTGGTTTTTAAAATGTGATGTACTTACATTCTCAGAAAGATTTGAATATGTTGGGTCAACCAAGTATGTAAATGAGGTCCCAGAATCAAAAAGAGCTGTAAAATCATCATCAATTAAAGTTGTCCCCACCCGAATTTGAGTTATGGTAATGTTATAGGTTGGACTGCAAGATAAATCAAGGCAAGATGTTAGACAATTAGATAAAATGTTCCATCAGCAAATACACCAATCTAAATTCACAGATGACCAGCATCAAGTAAATGAGAAAATTACCACTTACTGTGATGGGTTAAGATTAAATGGGGTCTCTTCCTGGTCAGGACTACCTTTGTCTCCAAAACTGATCCTTCCAATTCCATCATGTCCAAAACACATGGAGAAAGAATCAGCTGTTAAACCTTCCTGTGATAGAATGCTAGGAACTGATATCTTCTCCATGCCAAGCCCAAATAAACCATTGGGAGCTGCAACATCAAGGAATGAACCGCTTTGTACCTGCCCACAGCTGCACAATTCATATTGCATTTTCATCTGAACCTAGACAAGAGTTGGGAAACAAAATATTGGCCTACGAAGAGCCCTTATAAAGAAAGAATGACAGGGTAAGTTATTCAAACTGGTTAAGCTGAATATAGAAATTGCTTACCCAAATGTGACATATGCCTCGACCAATTCTGGATGACCATCTTCTGTCATAAGGTGAAGAACATCCTCCACTAGAACCCCAGAAGTAGAAGTCTGAGCTGACATGTAAGAGACCATATAAGGACAATTACTGAATGTTCCGAGACATTGGTTACGATGTGCACACAAGCTGCTGTTGCAGGTGACCTTTTTGCTAGTCGATGATCCTTTAGGGTCATATATACTGAGCTCAAAATCCTGCCACCAAAAAAGAATGCACAGTTTAACACCAATACAATTACAACTAGTGAAAGAAGTGATCAGCGAACCTAATTGGTTCACTAGAAGCCCCACTCATACTTTTCCCACTGACCCAATTTAGTGCAAAAGTTGGACTGTTAGAGCATCTTAAGGAGCAATTTAAACACAACGAGATACAGTTTCTACTCTTAAACGTACTACCGTGCTTATTTGGACAACATATTTGACTTCTAGAATGAACAGAAGAAGGATCTGAGTGCAAAAATTTTTGCTACAACAGACAAATTTGAAACAGAACTGCATCTATTCGGACTAGTTGAAGAACATTCTTAGAGTTCCAAACGCATTAGGGACATGAAGAAAAGGCCAACAAAACATAAAAATGAAATCAGAATATAATGGAAAAGAAAAAGAAGAAAGCATACAGAAGCATAAGTTGTTCCTTCAGTTGGAGCACATTTGTTGCAATCACAGGGCACCCAGAAAAGATCACTCCCTGTATCAAGTGCCACCATGAACTTCACCCCTGGAGTCCCCAATTGCACTGTTGTATAATGTAAACTGCACCAAACAAGATTACAAAAATAACAAGTTTACCAACAAAACCCTAAATTTAAAACTTCCCAGAAAACAACCAAAAAAAAGGAAAAGGCAAAAAGATCCTTACAATCCTAAAGAGCTGATTCGGAAAGTGGAGTTGCCATCGGAGAAAGAAATGGGTGCATTAATATCAGAGAGCTGGCGGCCGCGGAGGAGGCGATCACGGTGAGCTAGAACGGCGTAGTATTCAAAAGAGCCTTTTACAGGCCAATGAGAGAGTTTTCCAGTGGAGTTGGACCAGTTCTTGACGGGTTCGGAGAAACGGTGGTGCATCTTGAAAGTGAAGATTCGGCCATAGCTGAGCTTAAAGCTTAAGACCCAGATTGGCATCAAGAATAAAAAGACTGTCTTCAACAAAGACACCATTTTTCTTTAGTAGCTATCTCAGGAAAATTGCAGTGGAGATTCTACAAAGATTTGCATTTGGACCAAAAAAAGAAAAGGTAAGTTGCAAGTTAGAAAACTGAAGGATATCCCCAAAAAAAAAAAAAAGATTGGGTTTGGATCTTGGCCTTTGGTTGCTTTAGTTTTCAATGAGAGAAATATTATTTTAGTATTTTCTTTCTGTTCAGAGGATTTTGAAGTGAAATGCGGCGTTTGTTCTTATTGTTACAGTGGAAGTGAAACTGTAGCATGCATGTGGACCTTGGGGCCTACTTCCCCTTTTTATTGTTTGACAGTTAAGGACGTTGAACGGACGGGTGGGTCTTTTTCCCAGTTTTTGTTTGTCCTGTTTCTTGCTTCTTCTCTCATTCTCTTTCCTTAATTACTCTCTTGTCAATGCTCATTTAGTTAGATAGGATCTAACTGACTGGTTTTCACAGGTTAATACAGCCAGAAAGCTTTTCTGATTGGTCTGTTGTGAAAAGCTTAGGGTCTAGATTTGCATATGTATTCAGAGGAGGAACTTTGGAACTTCATTGAAGGAAAGCTCTGGGTGATGAAAGAAATGTGAAAGGATTGCGAAGATATCCAATCTGGAATAAAGGGTTGACAGAAAGGGAAGAAATTTTTAGAACTGAAATACCAGGAATGGGAGGATTGCCCTTTCTTTCACAAAGGGGGCACCATCCACCAGGTGACCCCTCCGAAACATTTCATTCAAAAAGAAAAATGGAGGTGTGAAATGAAATACTCATCCAACTTGAAACAATTAAGAAATCTGAAACCATTGCCTGATGATGATAACACTATACATGTACAAGAAACATCTGATATTCTGATACCATTTCAACTCATGATATTTACAAAGAAAAAATCCCACAATTACATTAGAAAAAGAAGACATAGTAGTACTAGAGTTAGGATACCAAAAAAAACCCCACAAAAGAAGGGTGCTTCCACTGCAAGAAATCCCATTTCAAGGGCTTGCTGCTGTGGACCATTTCTGATGCTCAAACGGGAGAGGCAGAGGTGATGCCAAATTTATCTGAAAGCTTGGTGCGAGTGAAGGGTGAAAGAAGCTCCATTTGATGAATGAAGTGCACGTCGTGAACCAAGGGATTACCTGTTCTTCCCGGAGGAGAACCTGAATAACAGGATGGAGAGCAGCCGGTGCATGCTGCTGATTCTCTTCCATCACCTGTCTGCATGGGGAATTCATATATATGAAGCTATTAGAAATCGTCAAAAATGTATAGATTTTCTCCTTCTGATTACTTCTTTGAAAGAAATATTTAACCTTCTCAGCGATCATGTTCAGAACTCCACTTCTCCCATCAGTATTGGCTTGGCTGATTACAGAAGAGAACAAATGAGTTCATATTTCAGAGGTTGGACAATTGCAGGCTTCCTTTGCATAAATTTGATTAAGGAACAACCCTTTTCCAGAACATTTGTGATAAAGCTAAAGCAAAGGAAAACGAGAAAGGAGAAAATAGAGGAACTTTGTAACATGACAATCAGACCTGTGTTTGCTGCATCTGAGGGGCTTGAGAACCTCAGGAATGGGAGGTCCAAGGCGGCGAGGTTTCGGGCAAAGGGGCTGCTCGTCACCTCCAAAGACAATGTTGGTCGTCTCTGAATTTGAATGAAGAAGGTTGCTTTTAACCGGTAAATGCTGCATGGTTCTCTCTCCTGCCTTCTTCTCCAAAGAAAGAAGCAAAAACAAAATCGCAGTCACAAGCAAAACACAGTAACTTGTGACTTATTTATTAATCTCTCATTCAAATGGCAATAAATAAAAACCGTTCTTTAATTTAAAGACTAGCCACCCCAAGACAAGAGAGAGAGAGAGAGGGATTACTGATCAGTGACGCCGCATCGGGTTGCAGACCTAGCACAAGTGAAGGAGAAGTTCCATTTGCTTGGCTAAGAGTAGAAGTAGGACAGTTCTTTAGACTCTTGACTAGTTGGCATTGATCTCCTAGTTTTCCTCCATTTCTCATCTTTGCCTACAAATAATTTCATCCAAGTTTCCTCCCATGGAACTTTTCTCCTCCCATTTCAGGAATTATCTAGTTTGATTCTTTCACATATATTTTCTCATTATCTCATACATATACCATTCTGCTCTGACAAATACAAGGCTTCTAATCAAAACTCCCATATGGCCATGAATACTCAAAAGTCACGTTTGCAGCATGTATTATCGGGTACTTTGAGCCCTGTTTTCCGCTTTTGATAATATGCTAGCTTTTCTTGTTTAGTGGCAAATATCGTGATAATCATTGTAAGAAAATAAATGAAAGAACTACTCTCTGCAATATGAATCACGATCTAAGAACTGCTGAAGGCTGACATGAGAAAGAATGTTGAATTCCCTTTCACACCTTTCAGACTTTCTACATCAACAGGCTTCCAGATCCCCAAATTCATACGTCTCCATTTCCCAAAGGAAGTGAAGGGAAATTAGCCTGCCTTTCTTTTAGTATTCATTTTTCCCTGCCTAACAGGTAACCAGGTTGATCCTAGCCAACAAATAGATGGATCTCTTTCCCGTACCAAGATGAGGTTAGGCAGCATTAACACCCCAATTTTGCATCTACAATTAAATAGAAAACTGACTAAATGCAAGCACTCAGAAGCAACTCTCTTCCAGTTAGGCATGCCTAGAAAGAGGAAGAGGGAAAAAGACTTGAGAAGGATAAAAGGTGCAGGTGATGGAACCCAACCCCCCTCCTGCGTCTACAGTTTTGTTTATTGTACAAGCCAAGGTCAAAACATCCACAGAACAAAGAGAGAACAGATAAGTGTTCATTCATAAATTTTACGCACCGGGATACCATCAGAACCTATTAGAATTCCAGGTTGAGTTCTTTAGCAGTTGGATTTATGGCTTGGAAACTCAATGAACAGATTGATGCACATCACCAACATGATGTGAAACTCCACAAACGTGGTTGATTCTGCATTTTACAATCCTTTCTATGCATGTTCATATAATTGCTTGATATGACACTCTTTTCTCAACCTAATAGTTTACTACTCCGGGGAACAATTCGTACTTGTGCAAAAATGAGGAATACAAGCCATGGATTTCTGAGGATACCACGTCAGACTGCAGTAAATTTAATGAGAGATCACAAAATAACACACCACATACACAAGATTGTAATGTGCATTTCTTTGTTCCAATTGGACTATCAATCATGAGTCATATTCTGAAGGGTACGCACACCATCAGTCAGAACTACGATCCATAAACTCACATGTTCATGGGTGCATGTAACTTTCCATGAATCTTTGCACTCTACAGACTGAAATTTAAAACTTTCCTAGCCTAATGCTTGTAAATGCATATATCCCAGGGAACTGAATAACAAATGCAGAACGTGATTTGAAATTTTCAATTCATTATAATCAACAAGAATGGATGATCTCAGACGATGCAAAGTTAATCAATATGTTGCTACAAAATGTAACTTGTTACATGTGTCTGAAACAAAATGCAATCAATCAAGGACCCAAAAACCTGCCAACCAACCCCTATATCAGAAGCTTTAACGCTTTAACAACTGGATTTCTGACATATAAGCATCCTTCACTGTTGTAACTCAGATCCCAGGTTCAAGGTAGTTAAATGGTATGAAGATTGAATAGCCTACATCATCCTGTTAAAATGTTTCCATGCTACTCCAGGCAGCTATTTAAGTATTTATTCAGATAAAATATGCCCACTAGCAAAAACTAAATCGGAAGCAAGACTGCATATAATTATGTAGGATAACAACATTGTAGGACGTTTGACACACAATTGTTAGTCAAGATCTATTCATTACCAAAAAGTCAACCATTATCTAGTTAGTTGTATTCTTGTACCATAAACCAAAAACAAATAGTAAAAAAAAAACAGAAAAAAAGAAAGGAACTATTATAGACACATGGACGCTTAAACATTTAAAGAAACAAAAAAGACTTTCTTAAAAGCCATAGAGATGAGCTGCACAAATCGTGAATTAATTAATTGGTGAACGTGTCAATGCCTTAATCATAAATTATATGTATCCCAATCAAATCTGGGTTGTGAGAAAACCTCATAATCAATGGGTCCATCAATAGTGCTGTCTATATTTTGCATGCCTTCCAAAAGGGCTGGTTGAAAGCTATCATTATCAGAAGGCAATAGTTTGCAAATTACTAGTAATCCAAATGTAAATATGGCTTGCAGCTTTGTGGAATCTCCTTTGACTGAAAAGAATAAGAGCATTGAAAGGAGGAACAAATCAACACAGAACCGCATGATACACAACACTGTATCCATCAGCCTTCCATCATTGCCAGCAGGAAATCCCCGGACTCTATATACAAACAGAAAGTTGTACTTATCAACCACATACCTATATCCAAAATAAACCGCACCTACTGGCACCACAAGTGGAGCAAATGAAGAATATATCATCGTCAAGGCAAATATTGTCAAATTAAATGCATAGTACTGTGCAAAATCAAATGTCTGCTTGGGTATAGGTGAGGTTCGGCTGATCGGATATACAGAAAGATCTTGTCCCTCAATGTCAATTTCACTCATCCTAGGAGTGTCAAACACAGTTTCAGGCATCAGCGGTCTCCGAAGACTATTCAGGTCTTGATTTTCTAATGGGTATTCCTCACTGTTTTCTGGGACCAACTGGAGCATGTCATTCTTCCGAAACTTCTGAAGCTTCTTCTTTATCCAAGGAATTGGAGCCAGCAGATCATATGATATTCCCAAGAATGTACATGTGATTAGAAATGCAAGAGAAGAAAGGCAAGACCTTGACAAGAATGAGGCACTCATGTATTGCTCAATTCTCTTGCAGTCTTCTCCATCCAAATAGCACCGACCCATCCGTAGGATTGCATTTTCCAATGATGACTCAACGAGGGCCCTCAGTAGGATCAGATTGACAAGGAAGAAGCAAACCATCTTCAGCAATGCTGCTCTTTGCTCACTAGATACTGTGAGATGCCGCTCAAACTTGGAAAGATAAGAAAGGGCTGAAGGGACCACTATATACATGCTAACAAATATAATAACATTGGGCAAAAATTGAAAGATTAAGGATGCAAGCCAGCTCGAACTTTGCACCCAAGCCAACCACAACTGTGCATTATCAATTGCTTCAGCATTAATAATCCGTGCGGCACTCTGCACAGCAGTGATTACTGCTAGTGGAGAACTGAAGAACAAAAGCATCAACAGCAAACATGTGTTTACAAACACTCTCCGCAGTTTCAGTGATAATTTTGTCGATCCCAAATGGTTCCAGTAAATATCAGTGGCCAATGGGGCTCGTTCAACTTTCCATTGGTTCCTCTGCAACCGTAATTCCATGACAGAGAAGAACTTCCCAAATCGCCTCTTTTTCTCATTCCGAAAATCTTGAACTGCCTTATTTGCAGTGTATACATCCTTAAACATCACAAAAGCAACCCCAGCACCCTGTGCACGTCCTTCTTTATAAGCTGCTAATTCAGTCTCTAATTCAGCTCTCAATTCCTGCAACTTCCTTAATTTCTCTTCATCAGTAAACCCAAATCTTTCCATAATCTGATCCAAAACACATTGCACCTTCCTCCCCAACCAACGAACCTTACCCCAAAACCCTTCAGCTCCATTCCCATCATCTTCATCTTCTTCGGGTAAAAGACGAGAATCAATTTTTGCCACAAACCAAGTGATTTCATCCCTAACTTTAACTAATTCAGTAGCTAAATCATCCAATGCGCATAAATCCATAGGCAGAATCACCCTATAAACTTTCCCTGGATATCTATATTGAAAATACTCCAGCAAAACACTTTTGTCAACTCCTAAACTCTTAGGCAAACCCTGAACCATAATCGTGAAAATCGCAGTTGAATTCACGTTCGGGTCACTTAAATTTCCATTCCCATCTCTAAACCTAGTAATTTTCAATCTTTCTTCAACAGCAGACATTCCAAAATGAACAATAATAACAACAAAAACCATGAAGATAAAATGTACCCACAGTAACCCTGAACCTTTACTAATATGACTTACGGTGGTCTTGGAGAACTGATCGCCCAATAGTGCTGTTCCGCCGTAGAGATTTACCGGAAGCAAGACGAACACAGCCAAAACAGCGACTGATAAGAGGACAGCGAAGCTGCCGCCTTCAATTAACAGGAATTGGGCAGCGTCAGCTCCGCAGTGGCGGGCAATCTCTCTGCCGGTGGCGTGCCAGACGGCGAGGAGCTTAGCTAAGAGCGCAGATGGTCCGGGGATGCGGCGGTGGTCGCTCCGGAGCTTGAGGAAGAGGAAGATGAGGACACAACATAGAAGGCCGATGGTTGAGATGTTGAGAAGGTATTGGATGTTGCCATACCACGCGCCGTCGAACACGTCTTCCCCGTCGGATGAAGGAGACGGCGGAAGAGGAAGCGTTTCGTTCATCGAAATTTCCTCGGAGAGAAAAAAAAAATTAGGGTTCCAATGACAAGATTTTGGGATTTCGATTCATTGGACGGAGGGGTAACTGGGAAGGAGTTTTTTAAGTTTTTCGTTTTTGCGAGTTGGAAAAGTAATAGGAAACCGAAAGAGAGAAAGAAAAGAATAAACAGAATTATGGATTCTTCCCCGAAACAAAAGAGTTGTTTGCAATTATACCCCTATCATTGATCACTTTTATTCATAGACCACTATTTGGGCTTAATTGAAACTTCTTCAAAATGGGCCTCCTTTTAGGCCCATTAAAATTTCAATTTCTTCCCTTGGCCCATTGTTTTTTTGTTTTGGGCATGGAAATTGAATTTACATTCAAAAAATTGGTCTTAAATATAAATATAAAATCTTCCATCAACAGGGAATGTCAAGAACAAAATCACAAACAAAAGTTGTTTGCTTTATGTGCAAGTAGGCTCAAATGTCAGCCAATAAAAATAAAATTGTATGGTCTTTTTCTTATTGTTCTTTCTTTATTTAGTATGGTATATGAGAGAGAAAAAGCACTAAGACTCTTAACAATTTAAGCAAACCCAAGTTTTCCTGTTATCTTTTTCAATTTCCTTTTGGAATTGACTAACCACTCAAAATTGAAAGATTAAATATTGTAACAAATTCGAATTTTAATTATCTTTATTATTATCATTCTAATGTTATATTAACTTATTTATATTAAGCAAAATGTTCGAAAATATAAAACTTTTAAATTATTTAAAAAAATTTAAAAAAATTATATTTTTATTTTAAGTCGAATAAATTTTTATAACTAATAGTTCATTAATTATCAATAGTCAAAATATAACTTAGTTATTTTATATTCATATGAAGTTAATATGATATTGTCGTTATGTCAAGTCATAATCAATTATGATATATTAATATGTCACATTAATATGTCACGTTGTGTAAAATGATAAATTGTATTATGACTAGCAATAGTCAATCAACTATAAGTCATAATAAATTATTTGATTAAAAATAAAAAAATAAATAGTTGATTGAATTGAATAAAAAATTGAAATTTTTTTAAATTTTTTTAAAAAAATCAAAAGCATTTTTAAGTATTATGCTTTTATATTACTTACAATAAGTAATAAAAGAGACTAGACTGAACAGAATAACTAATTTACTTGTGGATAATCACAAATTAATTTCACTATTATCTATAGTAATATAACTATTACACTCACTTTAGTAGCTCTCATTGCTCATAATTGTAATAAAAACAACTTTATTTAACATTACAAAGATAATAGGTTAATAGTCAAGATCGAGCTTCTACATGCACTTAATTTAAAATTTCCTATACATAATAATTATAACAATGCTTTTCCATCAAATGAAAAAAAAAAAAAAAACAATGCTCACCGACCTAAGTTCATTGGTTTTTGATGTACGAGTACAAATTTCCTTCCAATTGCCGACCTAAAATATTTCGGCTGGTTTTTACAATTTGTTACAAAAAATCGAAACTCTCAATTTTATATATTTATTATTTATAATTGTTGTCGATTTTTCATTTTGTTAATTTTAATCAAATTTAAATTTTGATAAAATTTAAATTCGAAAATCTTAAAATTAATAAATAACTTATTCGTTGTCCTTTTGACATCTCATTCGTCGTCATCGAAGCCTGACATCCGGCGCCTGCAATATGGTCGAAAGCGAAAGATGAAAGAGAGCTAATTTCCTTCTTCTTTTTTTTTTTTTTCTTCCTCCAAGATTTGACTAAACAATGTGAATCCGTACACTGTGGATCCATCTCATTTCGTATCTGCATTTGTGTTTTCTTCCATGTTTCAATTGTTTTAGGGTCAGATTCTCATGTTTGCTTTCCATCTTTGAATGGGCGGCTAATACTTTTAGCAGACCAAAGCTTTTCACACTTCAAACATATCATTGTCATCTGCATTAAAATGGAGTTTGACAATTTGATTCTCAACCCCCCACCCCCCTTTTCTTCATCGGTAGATTGAATTTCTAATGACAGAATTAAATATTCTTGAAATTTAACATACTCGATGACGATCCGAACTCAAAATATTAAAAAAAATATACATATAAATAAAAATCTTAATAGAGTATATTATTTGACTTGATACCTGCGTCTACCTCTTAATTAACTTCCTCAATTAATGTGATTATAAAAAAATACAATCCCACACATGTTATGATGTAAATTTATGAAAGATTCAAATTCTTATTTTGACCTTCCGATCTTATTTAATTAAATTTTTTAATTAATTCTGATTAATTTGTCTATAAACAAATGTACGGAGAATTTCTATGTCAAAGCACATGCAATTAAAATTAAGGGTTAATTGCATTTGAAAGCTTAAACCCAAGGCAGGCAAGGAAAGTGCAGATAATCTTCCTTTGTTGGACGGCAGAGTTAATTAATCAGCCCCATCCCCCTGTTGCAGATCCCAAAGTCATTGGCTGATTGGGAAAAAAAAATGAAAGATAGAAAAATTAATTACATTCTTAAAAAAAACTGAATCCATCTTTTTTACTTTTAAACAAATGTTTTGAGCATAGCTGGATTTCGTTCAGACAGACACAAACCCAGTTGGATTCTGTGCTGCCCAGTGGGCAGTGGCAGAGAGAGACAGAGGAGTTTTTTTTTTTTTTTTAAGAATTTATATATATATATATTTATTTAGTTATTTTAATTAATTTTTAATGTTTTGGGATTATTGTGTTGGAAGTGGTAGATGGCACAGCACGACCGCAGGCACATGTGCGAGACCAGATTTTTTTCTGTGGACAGCAAATCCCACACAACATTTGCCACTTGGTGTTTAACATTACTGCACACGTGTGGATTTTGCTTTTCCAGAGACTTGGACTGTTGGGCACCTATTTTACTTTGTACGTGTCATCTTGTATAAATAATATATATATATATATATATTTTACTTTTAGATACAAAGAGTAATGCCCCAAATTACACATAATAATACCCATTTACAATTTTGGGGATAAGTCATAATTAACAAAAAACCCAACACTACTTAATTAATGATTTTTATTTTAATATATTTTTATGTTAAATTTTGAATTTTTTATAATATATTTAATGATTTTTAATTTGAAAGAAAATAGGAATATTAGGAGTCTGAAAAAGGAGAAAAAAAGAAAAGAATACTTCATTTTGAGATAAAGACGATTCTTTTTAAAGAAAAATGATAATTTTTCATTTCATGCAAAAATAGAAACATTGCCAAATCTAGTTTTAGCATATGTTATTATTATTATCCATTAAAACCAAAGCTAATTATCCTTAAAAGCTTCTTAATGAAATAATTTGAATCGAATATTAACTCTCAAAAGGATTTTAGTCCTATTTGATACCATCATTTGCTTTCACAGCTCACTAATAATTATGAGAATACAACCTTGACCTAGTGCAACAAGTTTGCTAGACCTAAAGAGTAGGGAGCCAAGCAAATGACCAACCTTGGTTTGTCATAAACCCTTCATTATTGAAGTTAAGTGACATGTTTTGGATGAAGTTATAATCAATGAAATATGATTATACGAAGATTAGTTCTCGATTAGTTAAAAGTATTACTTGTAAATGAAATATCAAATTTATCGCCATTTTTGTCAAAAATTGCCAAAATATAGAATCGAATTCAAAGCTTTCTTCTACTAAAACAATTATTTTCTTCACAAATTCAATTGCTTTAAAAGCTGGATGAAAGTGAAATTCAAAGATATAATAAAAATTCAAGAAAATGGCTGGAGGCAAAATTAATTCATTGACCCAACTAACATTACCTTGGAAAAAGTGGGGTTGGATAGCAAATTACAATAATATATTTTTTCTGCTTTTTTTCTTAGAATAAAAAAAAATTAACATTAAGGGGGTGTTTCTCCCTTTCTATCTACTTTCTCTTTCTTTGGTTATATATATGTGGAGCCCATGGCCGTCCATGTGCATTGCTGGCTATCAGCCATCGCTTTGTTCGTTTTCCTTTATAAGCCCTTTGTCTACTGAGAAAGACCAAACGCCCAGTCTGAGTTTGTTCAATATCACACTGATTCATAACTCTTTTTTTTTTTTAATAAATATATATTTTCTTTTTGTTGGGTTTTTCCCTTTCTGTCGTCGTCGTCTTCTTCTTCTTCTCTTTTTACTTGCAACAAAAAGGAAAGGGAAAGGGAAAAAGGAAGAGTGTAGAAAAGAGAAAAAAGAACGAAGAACCCAAAGTGAAATAGGAAGCCAATCAATCTGGAGTGTTGGTTTGATGGATCTGTAGATCTAACGCTTTAAAAAAACTTCACATGTATTGCTCTGTTTCTTTTAGATCTCCATCGTTTTCATCTGCTATCATTCAGTAGCTGAAGCCAAAAACAGTACAAAACAGCCTAATTCTGCTGTGAGTTTATTTTGCTTTTTTTTTTTTTGAAGCGCGAGTTTATTTTGCTTTTAGTTTTCCCTTTTTCTTTGTGTGATCGAGGCTTTTCTTTCGAGTGGGGTTTTAATTTTTTTTTAAAATTTTTTGATTCTGATTAGCTGCTGAGCATATAGTTGTGGAATTTCGAGTGTCTAGCCGATTTTTATTGTTTTGTTCAAGTGTGGGAATGTAAAGGTAGATTTGACTTTCTCTAGTTTGTTCTTCTTCGCTTTTCTTTTTGGCCAAAAACTTATGTCGTTTTTGTTGTTTTTATTTACTGAACTGGCAGTATTAGCTTAAGGGTCGGTTTTTTCTCTTTTTTTCATTTTCATTTTCCATTTCAGGCAGAAATGGATGTGGGTTTTCGGTTTTTTTTTTTTACGTATGTCTTAGTTTTGTTTTTGGGGTATGAAGGATCAATTTGACAATTAGTTTTGAGTTAATTGTATGCTGTTTTTAACAGGGGTGTATGATTTTTTGTTTTGGTGTGCAGGGGAGGAGTCTGGTGGGCGTTTATTGATTAAGTAATACTTTTCGGTGGATATTTGCATCCAATTTTGGATGTTGAGGAGGAATTGGAGGCTGGCCCGGGGGAAATGAGGGATGTTATCAAGGTTGGTCAACTTTCTGAGGGCCTGCTTGCGGCCGTCCTCGGACCGTTATGCCCAAAAGGGTTCGGATGCAGCAGGCCGGCAAGACGGGCTCCTTTGGTACAAAGACAGTGGGCAGCACTTGGTTGG